GTTGGTTTGTTGTTTGTTTGTTTTTTTTTTTTTTTCCAGCTGCAAACTCAGTCTGGGAACTGAAAGCAAAGACATGATCTCTCCTCGTCACCTCAAGCACTGCCACCCAGCACACAACCTCGACGTGCCTGTGGTGTGCATGCTGTGGCTGTGCTGGGTACTTGCTGGGGTAGGTGGACTACGTGCCACGATGTCACGGGTGCCTGGGCTGCAAGACACGGGGATGCAGATGCTTAGCATGGGTGTGCAGGGTGCATGCTGTGCATATACAGGGTGCACGCTGTGGGATCTGGGGGGCACTCTGCAGGAACGTGAGGCGCACGCTGTGGGCACGCTGCCTGAGGGCAGCCCAGCCAAGGTTATGTGCAGCAATTCAGAAGTCACAGCCAGACGTGATGTCTGAGACAATGGACAGGCAGAGCGTGCAGTTGGCAGTTGGAGGGAAAATCCCTCTCCTCTTTCTTTTAAGAAATCAAACGTGATCCTGCAACAGGATGAAAGGTAGGCACCAGGCAGGACAAGCCAGGCTGACTCAGTTAGGACTCACGTGGACATGCCAGCTGGTCACATCAGATGGCCACTAGCCCTGAGCACGGCACTCTTCCAAGAACCCTTCCAATCCCCTGCTGAGACAATGACCTGTTCTCACAGGATGGGACAGCACTGCATCCAAAGGCAACAGGCAATAAACAGCCACCTCAGCAGGAGCCAGGTAATGTGGAAAAACGTGACTGTGGTGCAATGGCATGCGGACACAGCTGGGGAGTGAAGCCCAAGGGCCAGCTGGTCATCCACAGTCCTGGAGACCTCCATCCCAGCATGACCTCAGGGCACTGGTTGCTCAACTGGTGGCACAGGGCCAGGGGTTGATGGGCAGGCCTGAGGTTGTTCCTGTGAGGTCGGGGTGACTCAGCATGATTCAGGGAGGAAAATGGTGAAGAGAGAACATCTGAAGGAAGGAGGACACAGCCCACATGTGATGGCACCTGGAGGTGCTTGGGACCCCCATGCTGCAAGCTATGATGGATGCTGGGCTGCACCATCAGAAGGCAGGAGGAAGGACAAGGAAAAACCTCAAAATCAGGCCATAGATGCTGTTTCAAAATGAGGAAGATGGCTGAACATCCTCAGGGTGGTGCCACCCCCAAGAAGGGCAGCACTGTCCCTCTCTCTGACCTCTGCCTGGGGATGGGGTACCCTGGGGATGCTGCACCCATCAGCCCCAGCATTTCCTGCAGGCTGACAAAGAGGATGGCTGCTGCAGATGGGAGAAGAGCTGCTCCAAGGAGTCAGTCAGAGCTCAGCCTTGGCCCACTGCCACACCACAGAGGGCTGTTATCTCTGGGCATCTCACGGGGCACTGCAGAAAGTAATTATGTGGTGGTTTGGCTCTTCAAAATGAAGTGGCCTTCTCTGGGTAGCATCCCTCAAAGGCCTGTCCCATGCTTACAAGAGCATGCCAGGTTTGAGCTGGCAAGAGAGCACAGAGTGGGACCTTCAGCCACAATGTCCTCACTGTACTGGGTGCAGTTATGAGCCTTATAGTGGCCTAAAGAAGGACTTTTGCTGGACACCTGGGACTGGACCTCCTGCTGTGCATTAAGTGGCTGCCACAGGCCAGCTTGAGGATACTTGTAATTAAAGGGGGGGTGAAGTGCCTTGCTCCAGTCACAGAAAAAAAAACGCACAAGATTATTAAGCAGAAGAAATCCACGGTGCACATTCAGTCTCTCTCTGATGAAGACAGCATTTTACTAGAGTTATTTTGATCTGAGAAGATTACCCTGCTCTTAGTACAACACTACATGAGTCTTGACCTGTGGAAGACACCTTTTTGCAGGGAGAAAACATATTAATTCACAGCTGCCTTTTCCCAAGAACCTCTTACAGAGAGTTTGATCATGCTTGGGAGGCTGAGTGGGTGGGTGGCTAGTCTTGCTTCCTGTCCAGGAGGGCTTCTAGGAACAAACCTGCCTTTATGGACAGTGCTCAGCTAGAGGAAAGGACAATTCACCAAGAGGTCCCTCCACTCTTCATCAGGAGCTTTGCCCAGACGCAGTGCAGAAGCTGAACATCCCATGCTGTCAGTTCTGCACTGCTAAGAGGAAAAGAGAATGCAAAGGGAACCTGCTAAAAGCCCAGACAACCCCTCGAATCATCATCAGCTACCAGATAAAACTCCAAAGGGAGAAAGGGAAAGAGAGGAAGGAAATTAACCAGTCCATTAAAGAGGTGGGAGAATGGAGAGATGTAAGTCTGGAGAGAAGGTACTGCTGTCAGTAGGAGGGGATGGCTTTTCACACCACGTAACTGGAAGCAAAGCCTTTGTGCAGTGGAGAAGAGGGTCCCTGGATGTGAAGTCTGAAGTTATCAGCCATGCATACATCACCTTCCAAGTGACGATGCATTTGCACAGCTGTAAGACCCTCTGTTTTAATCAAGAGAGCAGACTTGCTTTCCCCTCCTCAATCCCATGTCCTCCCAGGCACACAGACAATCCTCAGAGGTTTGATCTGCAACAAAACCTTGATGCAAGTGCCTCTGACCTACAGACACAAATCCATTTATCGCTGGGCTGGGAGGGTGGACAAAGAGCAGTGGTGTCTCAGAGCTGGGTGCCAGGGCCACTCTCTGATTCAGCAAAGCCCTTGATAAGAAATGTCATCCTCCATTGAGTAATTTTAGCCCATGAGATAAGAATCTCTATCAGGCTCAAACATATGGCTGGCTGCAGAGCACACAGCAAAATGAGACGGGTAATTTATTTGCTTGTGCTAAGAGCACTCCCAGACCCAGAAAAGCTGATGCAATGAAATAATAAGTGCCAAATTACACTCCATTCTTCTTTGGAGACCTGGAAGAGGCTCCTGTGAGATACACAAGGGGTTGTATCTCTCTCCTTCAAGCACCAAGCCACCAAGGAGACAATATTCTACACAACTAATTGAAGACTGGGCTTCACAGGATTTTCTGAGGTCTGCTCTTCTCATTAAATCCTACTTGTTACACAGGAATTCACACCCACATAAGTGACTGGTGCTCTGTATGAAGTGCCAGTAGATGCTTTCCAGGGGAGGAAGCAGAGGGGTTAAATGACATAATTACAAAGGACTGAGGGTGAACTCCAATCTCCTGAGATGAGCCCTGGACATTAGGGCAGGACCATCATCCCACCTGGTGCTGTGACGTCCACCAGCTGAGCCCAACTTAGAACCTCTGATTTAGGCGACCTGGACTAATCCATATAAACATGCTATTGGGCCAGACACTGCATGGCTTAGGTTGCTTAGAGTAATGAACTCCGTAACCTGAGTAGGAGAGCAGCATCTGATCCACTGGGACAACTAAAGGACACTCCAAAGAAGTACTTAGCACATTTACACACTGGCTGCTAGAAGGATCTGCTGAGGAAGACCCATCCCTAGAGAGCTCTTTCTTATTCTCTTTCCTCGTCAAGGGAGGTACCAAACTAGATGGTCTCACTCTGTACAGCCACTTCTACTCCCTCACATCTTCATCATGGCAGCTGCCATTCAGTGTGTATCACACACTCCCTCACCATAACCTTTTAATGGGTAATTTCACTCTCAAACTTAAGACTAACATCTAAACAACTATTCTGAAACAGAAACTTATGATTAACTTGCAAATATTTTAATTTCGTTCTTCCAAGAAACTGGGCCAGACTCAGACTCTGATTCAAACTCGCTTTAGAAATGTAGCAGCTACACCCTGGGTCAGAGTCAGTCTCTTTAGTGATGTGAAATCATCACTGCTTCCTGGACAGTGGTATCTTCCCATCACCATATCTACCCATGTCACTGGCATTCTCACTGGAAATATCAGCAGTTAAACCAACAACTGAATGAGTCACAGAGATTAAAAACTTCTAATAGTAAATGACGATCCTTTCAGCTCAGTGCTGAGATGTGAGGGGAAAGGGGAGCCAGGAAACCCCTGATCCAAGAAAATGAGGGTATTTTCTTCTCAATGGAGTTCAATTCAGCATTTTTCATCATTGCTAAATTTATTAGGGAATGCTGTCACGACAATAAAGGTCCCCATGCAGACGCTGGCTTGGCCTTCACGGCAACATCACACATACCAACCTCAGAGGAGGAGTCTGATGAACCCTTTCTACCCTCACTGCCACACAGCCTTCACATGAACCACGGACTGCACAAAGTACAGCAGAGGAAAGCCATGTGTCTCTCATGTCTGTGGAGATGTATTGCTAGAACAAACCAAGCTTGACATCCCTCTGTCATCCTGGTCAGCCTTCTCCACCAAGGAATGCTTCCAGCATTCCAGAGCCCAGGGCCCAGCGTGAGGAGCTATGCATGTTTGTGGGGAAAAACATCTGCAGCAGGAAAGAAGATAAAAAATAAATCAAGCTTCAACTTTCTTCTCTGCAGCCAATGTTTTCCAATTCTCCAAAGGTAGTAAATTGAAACCAGATAATTTTGCTCTATTTTTTTTCACCTCCTGCCTTTTTCCTCTTGTGGCTTTGGATGAAGCAATGTGATAAGCCCATACATTTCAGCTCACTCTGTATCTCACCAATTTGGAAAATACATCACTGTCATGTACTGGAGCTGGAGCTGCAAACACTGCAGATGAGTGTAAGAGACTTGTCATCCTTACTTCTAACAACAAAGCAGCAAATTCCTCAGGTGTAAAGTAAAGGCACAAAGCGTCCTCCAAAAGTGACATATTTAGTGTGTGTGTGTTTCAGCAGAAATACTTGAAATATTAAGAATTAGATACGTGGACAACTATGACAGTAGAGATTTGCTGATGATTTTTACATGAAGCCTGCTCAAGGCATGGGTGATTGCAGGGCACAGGAAGTGGGCAGCAGAACAGAAGAGGGAATGGGGGCATTAGGAGAAACTATTCTAATCAATGCATGAACTCATCCCACTTCTTGTCTGATTGATATTTGAGTGAAGTAGAAAGGAAAGAAAATGTTTGGCTGGTTTGGTGGTATTTTTTTTTACCTTATTACGAAGCTCCAGTCCCACTCTGGAAGTCAGGAAGCTGGCTTGTAGCATCACCTCTCCTCTTTCTTCCTGCATCTTCCCTTAGGCAGGCAACCTCTCCCCAGACAAAATCTGTCTCTAATACAAGATCTATATTCCAGGCTTTTCCCTTTTGAGCATTCCTTCGAATGGCAACACAGCACTGATTTTCATTACTTGTGCAAAGCAGCCAAGCAATGCTCTTTCTCCTGTGTGATACCGGAGATATAAACTTAAGCTCCACTGTCCTCAAAGAGGGAGGGTTGCCTGGCAAGTTCAGAAAGTCTTCTGAAATATTGTAATCCAAGCCAAACTGGAGCTCATCAAGCTTCATCATCCAAAGAGTGGATACACCTGTAAAGAAAACACAGTTTTAATACCTGGATCAGGACAGACTGACAAACTTCTGGGCTTTAGGCATGATTTCTATTAGTATCAAAAGAGTGATGTCTGGTTTACCCTTCAAAGGACACACTGACCTTGCAGTACTGACAGAAGAACATTTTGTTCTTGCCTGAAGATTCAGCCAACAGAAGGTACTACTCAAACAGAGACAAACAAGGGATGTCTGAAAAATCTCATTCTATCATCTTTGCAGGGTTTAAAGATCTTAATTAATTTTTTTACTATTCCAAATAAGTGGGAAAAAATATAAAAACCTTGACATTTTTAAGGTTGCTACATTGAAACTCATGTTGATTTGAAGCACTTTGTTTCAACAGTTGGAAAATTTCCCTTTGGGGTCATAAACTTTTACACTTCGCATTATAAGTTCCATTAGAAACAAAGAATCCTTTTGAATACAAACTCAAAACTAAAATGCAAACACAGTTAGAAAGTTTAGATGCACTCTTAGTAGCCAGTAACCCTAATCCAGTAACCCTAACCCTAATCTAGTAACCCTAACCCTAACCCTCTCCAAATCTTTACTATACCTTTTCCAGAAAGAAGGATTATTGAGGCTGATTGTCTCCTGAGGGTGCATTCAACTGCAACATGGTGGAGTATTAGTGACAAAGTCACAGTCAGCTCAAATGCCAACAAAGGAAACATTGAGCTACTTTAATCAAATTAAGTGGATTTTAATACACAATGCAATATAGTTAGCTTTACGTGTAAATTCTACCCTAAAACAATTTCAGTGCTCAACTACAGACTCACACAGACTAGCAAAATGACTACAACATATGTTGATTAAAACTAATGCAGACATTGCTCCACTGGGTATAACATACAGGTCCAATGAGGAGGCAGGAAAAACTCCAAAAATTGTATCTAGATTGAATTCTAAGTTTTATCAAAACCAGCAAATTTTTGTGCACAAAGAGAAACATAAACACAGTATCCAGGTACTTTGTATAAACTAAACACTTTCATGGTGTCCAGGAGCTCCTCCAGCGGACACTGTCCAGACACAATCAGCCCAACACAATGGTTCTGAGAAAGAAATAAGCAGCCTTCGTCTGCATTCAGGGAACATTTGGGAGAGGTGAAGAATCAACACAACGGAGATCCCTACACAGTTTCTATGGATGGGAAGAGCCGCGGAAGAAAAGGTCAGCAGCCTCATCCCATCAGGAACGAACTGCAAGCTAACTTCAACCCAGCAACTGGGAAGTATTTCCAGGGTAGGTGATACAGAAACTAGCTCAAGTTTAGAAGACAGCTGGGAATAACTTGTAATTTAGCCTCATAAAAGAAGAGATCTCTTTTATCCATGGATGTTTGGTCCTATCCAGAGTTAACGTTCCTAGTTACAGAGACCCATGATGAAGTGGAATCCCTGCCCGTGGTGGGGGATCAGAATAGATGATCTCTACGGTCCCTTCCAGCCCAGGCCTTTCTATGATATGATTCTATGAGAAGCAGGAGGGCTGGTCTATGCTGCTAAAGAAACTCCCTCCACTTTGGATGCAAGATGTGGCACGGGAGGTACAAACATACCTTTGCTAGGGAAGCCGAGTGGGATGGTTCACCTCATTGCCAGAAGGAACAAGATCATAACTGGTGTGGAGGAAGCAAATGGCTCTGGCACTCCCTGGGAGCATGGGAAATTCAGTTAAGAAGACAGGAAACAGGGCCCAAGGCATGAGGGTGGCAATACCATCCACAGCTCCAGAAATGCATCTCTTTGACCATCTCTTGCTGATTTCTCTGTTTACATTTATATGCCACGCTGCTTCTCTTGCTGCAAGATCTTCAGTGCTGTTTTGGGGCCCTGACTCTCTGAAGGACCCCACACACAAATCAAGGGGATGCAGGCTCCTCTGGGGTTGTACAATACTATTCATCATGTCCATCTCCATCCTGGCAATCACTGGGCCAGGCTCTCCCCGCCACATAATTCAAACCACTTGATGGCCCATCCTTGGACAGGTCACGGTGCTGTGTCATGCATTAGAGAGGAAGAGACAGGAATAGGATGAGATCTGCACCTTTGGGCCATTTGTCTCACAGGCACCAACCACATCAACACCTCCTCCTCACGGAGGGACTTTGCCACACCCCAAGGTGACACAATAGCCCTCATTTGGGGTGATGAGATTCTTTTCTTCTTCAAAGACCTTGTGGCTGCCAAGCACCTTTCAACACCAGGTGTCCACGTCAGTACTTTCCAGTAAGCACCACAAACCGGTCTGCTCTGAAGACACGCTCTCCGTGATGTTGAAAATCAGCCACCAGCAGAAGTCATTGAGGAAGAGGGAGGAAGAGTAGTGGGGTGGAAGGAGCTCCAGCGCACACCAGGGCTGGGTATGTATCAGAAGGGCTGTGACCATAAGTCACATAAGTTGCAGTGTGCAGCCTAGAAAGAGACTGCATGGCTCAGGGCCCTTGGAATTATGGAACATTATCCTCAGGCTGCTGGCAATATTCCCTTGGGCAGGGCACAATGCTGACACAGTGACATTAAAAGCACAACTTCCAATAGCATCCTGGCTGCCCAAAGCCTTGGCATGAGACAGCTGAGCTGTCCCGAAGCTGACCCTCCCTGGAGGAACACCGCATGCTGACAATCCTGGCACAGGGATTAGCAAGGCAGTGTTAAAGTGCTAAACACAGACAGAACCAGGGAGCGAAACAGCTTCCTGCAAATAAGGGGACAGGCAGGAACATCTTTGCACACATTTGTCGCTGCACAAGGAGAGCCTGCCCTGTTCTCAGCTGAAGTCAGTGTTCAGATGGACAAATGTCTTGCCCACATGGCTGAGCTGCAATAGCACAGGTACACAGTGACCTGTAACCAGGCAAACCTGGGGCACAGTACTTACAATTACATGCAAGACTACCTCCAAACACCCTGCCCGAATGGTAAAAACAAGAATAATTTGGGTTACAGTCTGGATTGCCTTCCTCTCCCACACTTCCTTGACAGCTGGTTGTCCCTGCTTCTGCTGCTGAATTTCCCCCTCCTCCCCATTCCTGCATTACTCATGAATTAGCAACACACACAGCAGCAGGCAGTAAAACACACCAGCAGCACTGCTGAAGGCACAAACTTCAACAGTGGCTTAAGCAGATGTGCTAAGGAAACATTTGGATGTTATTACCAAAAAGCTTTCTAGGTTCCCCGTCAGATCAACACCTCTGTTTCCTCTGAATCATTATACAAAAGAAACAACATAGAACCAATAATAAAAACACCTCAATTGGAAATAGAGTCAGCTCACTCTAACGTCTGGAAATTCACCAGCACAGACCCAAACCAGGGGTCAAGTCAAGGAACTTGGTGCTACACTCTGTAGCCAGCAATGACAGGTTTGTCTGGTACAGGGTTTGCAGGTTAACCATCTCCATGGGAGAAAGCAATCCATCAATACCTGAAGAGGTTAAAAATATCTGTAGGACGCTGGAGCTCATAGCATGTGTCTGTCCCATGCACTGAGATACATCTCAGTGTTATTTCCCTCCTGTAAACTACTTTCCTTCCCCCAGCTCTGTAAAATTCATTCCTAGCAGCTCTCAGCTGTGTAAAGATTTTTTACATGTGGCTGGTACACTGGCTGGACTAAAACTCCTTTCAGAATATAAACCAAGAAAAAAAAAATACATCAAAAAGATTAAAGAGACGCTTGGCATATTAAAGAGATGGCTACATGGAAACTTTTTAAACATACGAGACCTACACGACTGACTGAGGCAAGAGGCATAATTGGCCCAATGTGAGCTCACAAGGCAGGCCCACGACTCTTGGCTACACAGGCGAAGGATGTCACGTACCAGTAGGGGAGGCCCTGTTATCTTTGGGCCTTGGGCTGGTACAGCCGCTGGGAGAGCAAGGTTTAATACTCGTACCCACACTTCAAGAATAATGCTGGAAAAACTGGAGAGAGTTCAGAGGACAACCACAAGAACAAACCCAGGCTTGTAGCAAGGAGCTCAAGGAAGTCAATCAAAGAGAAAGTTAAAAGGCACCTCACAGCCTGTAGGTACCTGTCAGAAGAGTGTTCCTTAGTCTGCCAGACAAAGGCATAATGAGACCAAAGGTTGAAAGTTGAAGCTCGACAGAAAACAAACCAGAAACAACTACACCATTTTTCAACACTGCAGGTAATTAACAAAGGGAAAAGTTCTCCAACTGCCATGGACGAGAATCCAGCACTGGCAATTTTTAAAATAAGATGGGATGCTTCCACCTTGCTTCTCTCGCTCCCCCAAAAGTGTATGCTTGGTTCCATTCCCAACTACTGACCCCAGAGTGGAAACTAATTCAAGCAATCTCTTATACTTCAGGACAGACTTAACATGCACCATGACATTAAAGCCTAGAAATTGATGAGGTACAAAGAACAAGAGGCCGAATTATTGGTGGTACAAAGAACAAGAGTTCTTTGTACCTAACCATTATCAGTGGTTAGGCTTGTCCATCCCCAGAGATCCCTGTGCCATCCAAAAGTCCTCTGCATCCCATCACTATCAAGATGTGGATTTAACTGAAGAACAGCAAAAGAGCCAGATCCCTGCCACAAGAAGCAAAGCAAGATCCTGTTAAACCAAGAAACCCACTCCAACTTTTTTTCCCAACTAAATAAACAGGAAAAATCACATCCAGACAAAAGCAAGTTAAAAAAAATAACACAGGGCAGAAAGAAAGCATGATATAAGAAATAAGTACTCTATAGTGAGAACAATCATTCACTCACTGGAACAAACTCCCCAGGGAGATGGTGAAGTCCCCACCACTGGAGGTTTTCAAAATGCAACTGCACAAGGTTGCTAAAATCATCTAGTCTCCCTTTCCCACAGAAGATTGGACCAGATGATTCCTTCCAGTCTGGGCCAGTCTGTGGCTCTATGAAAGGCACACAAAACTTTCCTGACTACTAACACTTGAGCTAAAGTAATGAAGCTCCCAA